TATACAGTAGTATGCACATACATACATATTAAACTATATATTTGGTTAGATGTTGTGAATGATTACTGTTATTACAAACACGTTTTCAGGATTGGTATATTAAAGATTTAATATAAAAACAGTCCGGACAGCCTGTGCTACAGACAAGACCACCTTTTTGTATTTAGCTAACTAACACATAGGCCTACATTTGTTTAAGATCAGGATAATTACTTGAAGGCTATATAAGTGATTCCTAATATGGCACATTATGATATATACAGATCCCACTTTAGCGAGATCAAAATTGTTGGATGTGTATATATTTCCAAAATGGTATTGTCTGTGAGTATAAGAAATATATAGGCTACACATACATGGAGTTTATTTGAATCTTGAGTGCTTCTCAAAGAGCATACAAAACGGAGTAAAATAAACAATTATGTGTAAATAACTTGGCAGTGTTAATCAATGGTTAAAAATAGAAACATTTAATATAAGTTGAAATAAAATGCCGAACAAGACTCAGGTATAACGGTGTGGCCTCATTTTGAGTTGTCAGACATATTGATGCATTATTGTATGTATGGTTATATATTTATAAGTTATTAAAAGTTATGATTAATATGATCATAAGAACGTTTCAATAGTTCCTAAATACAATTGATAACACATACATTATTGCATTACATTATGTCAATAACTTAAATTATAGGGTTGTAAATGTGCCACTTTTCAACGGGACTGCTTTAATCCAATTCACGCGAGATCTCAAAAGAGGAGCATTGTGGCGACGAGAGTACACTAGTGTAGAGTTGTTTTCGAAGAGGAAGGTGGAAGATTGTGTGTAGTCAGGAGGGGAAAGCGAGTGTATTAAATAGCATAACAGCAGGAGGAAATACAAAATTCAGCATGGCTTCGGGGGACACCCTGTACATTGAAGCGGACGGGTCAGATATGCCGACAGAAATAGTGGAACTGCATGAAATCGAAATAGAGACAATCGAGACCACAGTTGTTGGAGACGACGAAGAGCACCAGCCTATGATCGCCTTACAGCCGCTTGACACGGATGATCCACACTCTATTCACTCGCACCAAGAGGTGATTCTGGTGCAAACAAGAGAGGAGGTGGTGGGCGATGAGGACTCTGAAATGCACGACGATGATGGTTATGAGGACCAAATCCTCATCCCAGTGCCCGACGCTGATGAGGACTATATCGAACAGACTCTGGTTACTGTCGCTGGGAGAAGCTCCTCCACAGGCCGGATGAAAAGGGCTGGAAGTGGAAAGAAAGCGGGCAAAAAGAGCTACCTAAGCGGGGGAGAAATGGGCAGGAAATGGGAACAGAAGCAAGTGCAGATAAAGACTTTGGAGGGGGAGTTTTCAGTGACTATGTGGGCATCGGGTAAGTTCAGAGTCCTGAGTGAAATATTTCTTGTTGGCTCCTTGCTTTGTTCTCAGCCTGTGTGCCGTGTGATTCGGCCCGGCTGGGGCCTTGTCCTCCGCTAAAGTAGGAACTAATTTTCCACTCTGAGCCAGTTTTAAGCCATTCGAAATGTTTTTGTTTTTATGGGAAGCCATGTTTTATGTGTCGATGGGCGCCGCCATATTTCCCCGGACTAGAAAGTATGGCGGCCCGAAAAAATGGCGTTTATTTGGCCGACGAAGATGGCGGCGAGAGTGGGAGCGAGTGCAGCTGGCTCATGAGCTGGCTCCGCGAGGCCGCTGTGGCGCAGTTCAGTTCAACTGTAGCTGTGGTGCCTTCAGGAACCCCTCATACTTTACACTTCCGAGACTTTAATCTCACCATATATGTTCATATGAATCAAGCAAACTTGATCCTGTGTCCAAAAAAAGTCCCCCTGTTTGCTAGTGCTGTTTGTCAGCCATAGAAAGGGCTATTTCATTGAGACGAGCGCTAATGTCACACTATTTACTATTATTTTATAATCTTAGTGGCTACATAAAACGTGTAATTCACACAGTGACCCATTTATAAGAAACACACTGAACATCGTTTTTTTTTATAATCGGATGTTAAATATTTAAAAAGTGTACATGTTTGTAAACATGGCAGTTAAAATGTTCCTAGATAATTTCATCTTCATGAGCAAGATGATAGATAGTTTATTAAAGTTAGATGGTTCAACGTGTATAGATATTTGCAGGAGCTTGACAACATTTTAACCTTTCATCACTTAATCAACAGTTTAAAACCTATTGTGTCCACATAGTTTGTTAAAAAGCACAATGTTACATTTGTTGGCTTTATCTAGAGCTTATCTCTGAATAAACATACCTTCGAGCCAAAACCTGTATTTCCTGTCATATGCTTCTGTTGTTAGTAAATAAACAACAGAGAAAGGGACGGGAAATGCTGTGAGTGGTGGGGATGACACAGGTCGTCTCTATAAATGGCTTTAATCAATTATTTCCACATGTTCTGGTTCTGTCTTAATTATCAACACCTATGTTCCCCTACATTCAGATGACAAGAAGGACATAGATCATGAGGAGCAAATCACGGGGGAAAACTCTCCACCAGATTATTCTGAATACATGACAGGGAAGAAGCTCCCCCCTGGAGGCATCCCAGGCATCGACCTCTCAGACCCCAAACAGCTGGCAGAGTTTGCAAGGTAAGGGTTCATGTTTATGTTCACACAGGTGTATGTCAAATTCACTGAGTCATAGTAAAATCAATATATTCAAACTACAGCTTTACTTAAGCCAACCAGAACATTATTTAAATCTGTGATGCTGATTATGTGACAGTGTGACTATGTAGGCTGGTGTATTAAGAGATAAGATAAGATGGTACTTTATTGATCCCAATTTGGGAAATTATTTTTGTTGCAGCAGCATAAAAGACAAGGCATGTTACAATAAAACAAAACAAGAATAGAAAGAAAAGAAAATATACATGTAGATATCATATATACAAATATATATATTCAAAAATATATGACATATGGAATATTAAAATATTGAAAGTTACACGTGAAAGCTTAACCTGAAGTTATTTATTTTTATTTAAGTAAGAAAGAGAGCTGTAATAATTTATTGAGTGTATACACGAAGATTTTTTGTACAGCCTATATCTTCATGTTAGCATGTCTATATTCATATGTTGCTATTTGTGTGTTCAGTTACTATATGTTGCTGTGTGTATTTGTAATATATGTCTGTGTACGGGCTGTGAAAACAAATATCACTTTGGGAGGAAACGTAAAAAATACTAACTTAGTGGACTTTATTAATCTGGATAGCTGTGTAATAATATTGAATACCATTTTTTTTTTTTTTTACATTTCAGAATGAAGCCGAGGAAAGTAAAAGAAGACGATGCACCCAGGACGATAGCCTGTCCACACAAAGTAAGTGCAGTCATCTGTTTATTAGCAGTAGATACAGTAGTGTGCAAAAGATGAAGGTTACCTACACACCTTGCTTACTCAGCTCTACTGTATGTCGTTTATTATTGACATTACATTAGTAAACAGGCCTGGTATGAAGAGCTGACGATACTGTTGCTCTTGCTACACTGTAGTGAATATGTCCAGAGTGATTTGCTTCATCTGGTTTCTCTCATGCTCAGGGATGTACCAAGATGTTTAGGGACAACTCAGCGATGAGAAAGCACTTGCATACCCACGGGCCCCGCGTGCACGTCTGCGCAGAGTGTGGCAAAGCCTTCGTGGAGAGTTCAAAACTGAAAAGACATCAACTCGTTCACACAGGAGAGAAACCTTTCCAGGTGAGTTCCTTTTTTACAATACGCGTGTCGCCTCATTTTACTTTTCCAGGGAAAGCTCCATAGTTGTAGTTTATCAGGATGAAGAAAGATTTCACTATGTAAACTGTGCCCGACTGGATCTGTGAAATAGCAAATGATATACAAACCTTGCTGTTGATAATGACAGCTAATCTGTGAGCGGCGTTAACTCAATCTCTCTCGTCTCCAGTGCACATTCGAGGGCTGTGGCAAGCGGTTCTCTCTGGACTTTAACTTACGCACACATGTCCGTATTCACACTGGAGACCGCCCGTATGTGTGCCCCTTTGATGGCTGCAACAAAAAATTTGCTCAATCAACCAACCTGAAGTCTCACATCCTCACACACGCCAAAGCCAAAAACAACCAGTGAACGGACAGCGGCGCGAGCGAACACTGGAGGACTCGCTTCTTCGCTCTTTGGCAAACTAAAGTCCCGTGGCCTGCTTTGTATCTCTAGATGAAAGGTTTTCAAGAAATGACCTTTTTCTCAGAGTTTTTGAGGAACTTATGGAGGTTTGATCTCCCCCCCCCCCTTCCCTCAGGCCGCCTACCCTACTTTGATGCTACCTGGATGGAACAATTTACGCTTTCTTCTTGTGAAGATGTTAATTCATGGATCTGCACCTGAAAACGTATTTATACCTTAACACAACCAGTTAAAAATGTTTTTGCAATATATTTGTCAAATTTGCATCGATCCTTAGCAATGACACATTTTCAATTTTGTACTTTCCCCAAGTGTGCATATTGTACACTGTGTGACATAAGCTCTGTGGTAATATGTATTAAGGTTGTCCCATAGCTGCTCTTGGGTTTCACAGTTTGTTTTATCTCCCGTTCATGTGAGTGTGTTTCAAGGGAGGGTTGAGTGATCTCTGCATATTTTCATTTTTTTCACAATATCAGAATCATGTAGATAACAGCCATGTGATTTTCAGTAGATCACTGATTAAAATGTTTTTCCCCCTTGCACTACCAACAAAGTGTCATTTGTCCTCTCACAACCTAGTATTATGCAGACGTTTTGAAAGAGATGTCATTTAGACTAACTGGATCAAAACATTTGAATAATGAAGTGACTGTCAAAACAAATCGGTGTCGGTTCTCATCTTTATAAATGTCGTTTTGAAGCTCGCTAACAAACAAACGTCACTAGTATTTTAACAGTTCAAAACTGTTAAAGTGGTAAAGTTTACATTTCCTTTTTTTGGTAACAAGGAGAAACAAAACAAGGAAGTGAAACAAATTCAGTTTTATTTTTCACAGCAGTGCATATACTCAACTCACAATTTCACATCTTAAAACTTAAATTGGACATTTAAAAGTGGCATCCCGCAGCTGGTAAATTGTTACAATGGTTCATACAATCGGAAAATATTAGTAACATTTGAGATTGCACCGGGCCATCAGGTGTTCAGAGACAGAATCTAGGATGTTTGTCAGTTTTGCCACAAAATGATTCAGCAATTATCAGATTTGTATTTTGCAATCGATATCCATTTCATTTCCATTTGCACTGGCTTGTGTTACATTTCAAAGAACGCAGTGTCAATATCCTCCTTTACACCCAGAACAATCAACTCACATTTCCAAGTAAGGCAGTCTATCTCACATTAAAATGCTTTAAAGATTAAAACGAGAGCAACGATGCTGGTGAGTAGAACTTCTGAATCACGTTTAACCCACACATTCCAGTGCATTTGGCTTGGTCATTGCTGCAGAGCTAATGGCAATAACCCAAAATTAAAATAAAGTTTAAAAAGTGGTCCGGGAAATCTTTAACACACTATGTTCCCGTTTCATTTCATTTTTTTTTTTTTTTTTAATTGCGTGCAATATAGTTGTTTTTTTGTACCTAGCTCATCCCTGCAGAGTGGTATTGTACTAAGTCTTACTACACCCCCAACCTGGACCCTATTGTAGTCTCAGTATCCTGATCAGATAAAATTATTGCATCCGGTATATAGATTCTTAATTGATATTTAGCACTTTAAAAAAATAAAATCCTATTCACAAAAGCCCTGTTTGTAAATTTAGGAGGTGAACTGGTGTGAGCATTTAAAATGTTCCTTATGCAAAGGAACCGTTTTCCCTACAATTCTCCTGTTCATCTAGCTGCTTGGATTTAAAAAGGCAAAGAGTAATCTGGGTCAGTGAACAGAAAGAAGCCATTTGCATTGTAATATAAAAAATCCCAAATCACAATCCCTGTCGTTACATTTTGAGGAAACAGTTTCAAGCCATTTGAAGAAAATAAGATGTGTACTGAATAGACGTTAAGAGTACCTTTTTTAAATGGATAGGTGAGGATGATTGATAAAATTGTTTCCTGAAGGCTGGAATATTGCAGTGTTAACTTCATATGAACTTAACAAAACAAGAGGCATTGGTTTAAAGCATAGTTTCCCCTCCATGTCAGCATCCTGCCTGTAGATGTGTGTATAATACCTGCTCCCAGAGCAGATGTCTCCCTGATGGTTTCTCTCATGGCGGTGGGTTTTCACTCAGCTAGCAGCGCAGCCAGCAGCTCAGGGTAGTTGGGCGTCCCCCAGCCCGTCACAGGGTCCCATGATGGAGCCGCACAGAAGCCTTTTCCCTGCACCTGTTCGTCCAGACAGCTCAGGTGACAGCCTTCAGTCACCTGCAGAGCATTCAGGAAACGCCATGAGTACAAAATGGGTAAGGGTTTCACTATTCTTTTATTTTTACACAATTCCTTAATGAATAATATACAACTCTACTGCTTCAATGTTACAATAGCCGTCACCTCAAATCTATCACTTGTCTGGTTTCATACTAAATGTGACACTACTGTAAAATTAGTTATTTTGTTCAGGAAATAAGGTTTTACATATTACAGTTCCGCTTTGAAAAACTTTCCAAATGTCTTCAGGGGGCTTTATTTAGAACACCTGCATCTGAATGAAATCCAATACGACTGTTCTGCCAAGTGACCTTTTCTTTTATGAATCCTATCATTATTTTTGCCACTGTCATTGAGGTCATAGAGAATGTGTTTTCTTGTGTTTCTAATATGCTACTTATGTCAATTAAATATGAGTCACTTTTGATAATGTTGTCCAGTTCAACACTACATTTAACTATGACATCAACATCATTGTAAGTAAATCAACACATCTCCGACATTGTCAACAAAAATGTAAAAATATTAATTAGATGAAAGGATAGATGGTTGAGCTGTGGTATTTAACTAAAATAGATTGCAGATACATGTGTACCAAAAGTGGCCCTTAGGTGTAAGTGTGATAGCTAAAATCTTTAATGGGAACTGCCGACGAATTTTACAACATTAATAACTTGACTTACATCAAACATAGCTTTTCCTTTGAGCTTGTAGAGGCGAGGGTTGAGGAAGCCGAGGACAGGAAGACCCTGCAGCAGCCGCTGGTCGTTGATGAGAGACAGCATGCCCCCGACCACAGGGGTAGACGCCTGGAAAACAGGGCAAGCAATGAGAAATAAATACTAAAATAAAAAATGAACGCTTCTTTAACAGCGACATTATAATCATGCTTGAGTGTTTGATTTAATTATATTTCTTTTTCAGCTTGTATATTTTTTACTCTGCTTTTTAGTCCACCAGTTATCTCATTTATTAACAATGTTCTATTCAATAACACCTGGTATTCCAAGTTTGACATATCTTACCGAGGTCCCAGACACCCAGGGGACAGGCACTTTGTTGATGACCACCCAATAGTTATCGGAGAGGGCGGCCAGGTCCGGATAGGCCCTGCCGCTGGTGTTGAAATATGCCTGAGGAGGGAGCGTTGCTGCTTCAGTCTTCAGGTACCCATCCACCGCACTGGCCTGCAGGAACACACGTTCATATAATTAATGACAGTCTGTAATAAGTGAGCATTACCACAGCTGAGGACCTGATATTATTACCTGGTAGTCGGGCATCTTGAAGACATTGCTGAAGCCTCCTCCACTGATGTAATCTGTTACTTCATACGTGACCTTAAATGGGTTTTTGAATGAAGTTCCTCCTACTGTAGTGACGTATGGGCTGAAACAAGAAGAATGACAGGGTTAGTGCTCTGCAACAAAGTCAATTCTGATGGCTTTTGGATTGACGTATGCACATCTGAATCCACCTTAGAGTGCAAGCTAAATTCTTTGTTCATTAAAATGGAAAATCTTTATGTCTTTGTAGAGTCCTACAACACTAATAAAGTGCTTTGTGGGGAAAAGCCTTTCGAAGTCCTATGCTAGTATCAAGCAGAAACGACTTTATTTCAAATGTTTTACCTTGATGCGGGAAAGCTTGGCCTGAAGGAGTTCTCTTTACCCAAATGTCTGCAGCCTGCACCACTGTCACCTGAACATAAAAACAAGATCGACACGATAAAGATTGTGGAAGGTAAGCGTGTTAAACCAGATCAGTGAGTGTAAAAGTGATGTAAGTATCATGACGCGTGTCTTCCTGAGATCTGGCAGCATTTCCAGCTTTGTTGTAAAATGTGGAAAAAGCTATGAGCAAAAAGTAATCCTGTTTTCCTGTTTCCTGGAGCCAACATGTCATCTGTGTTTATTTAAAACAATAAAAGCTGTATTCATGTTTCAAGTGAGCCCAAAAAAGCAAACATAATTTGATATGAAGACCAAACAAGATGATTTAGAAACTCAACCACAAACAATAGAGGTCTCAGTCAATGCATATAGAAGGAGTCTTTTGGAGTCACATGTTAAAAAGATAACAGGCTGAACTGTCCTCAGACAAGTTGGCTCTCTCAGACATTTTTTGCTGACATAGTATGAATGTAAATGTTTGTTGATTTAGTTTAGTGTCTCTGTTTGCATTTGGAAGTTGTTATCACAATTCCTCCTTACTGACCAGAAGCAAAGAGCAGAGAGATTCCCCTGACGCCAGCCTTCATAAACTCTGTGTTGACACGCATCATGTACGCAGTAGACAGGCTGTCTTCATCGTCTCCGTAGCTGATTGTGTGAACCCAGGGCAGGTCAGACATGTTGCTGAGCAAAAACATCCACTGGAGGAAAGGCTCCTGGGACTCGTGCCGACCTGTCGATTTAAAATCAATGTCAACTGAAAGTCAATACAGCCTTAGAATTGTAAGTTCTCCGTTCAGTTCACCACACTACAGACCTGGATTGGTGAAGACCCATGTGGAGATGTTAGCCCCTGTGCTCATGATGTACTCTACATCCAGACTGGCCTCAATCCCAGCCTTTCCTTCTCCCTGAGTGCCAACCACCCGGTCCACCTGAGAGAGATGCTGGAAGCTCCTGCCGTACATCCCCATGAACTCCGCCAGGTCTGCAGGGCTGTAGTACTGCTCCAGGAACTAAAAGACAGAACAGCTAGCTAAAGTGAGAAAGTACACCAAGTTGTGGTGAGATTATTGTGTCTGAGCTACTGTCTAACAGCAACACAACACACATTTAGATTTATAAAGGTAACCACACCTGAGCTACAGCCTGGCTGTTGTTCTGAGCTGTTCCCACATCAGCTGCTGTGAGGTTATAGCGGGCCCTCAAGATGGCGGGAGTCACCCCCAGGTGCACCCCTGCCTCAGACTGCTTCATCTCTCTGTGAGACGAGGCTTGGCTGAGGTCCTGCCCTTTAGGAGGGAGGCGGTGAAGCCCTCCAACTGTGGAAACAAGCAAAACAAATGTAAGTGCAGTTCCCATGTCAATATATTTAGCAATCACAGATGACAGCTGAACTTTTAAAAATGGTTCTCACCAAAGTCCAGGTGCTCGTGAACATCATCATGGACAGAGTAAGGAGCTGAAGACCTGACCTCAGAGTGGCCGTCCCTGGTGTAACGGTGGAAGTTGCTACCTGGTAGCAGCTTCTCTGCAACCCTGAATAAACAACAACAACAACAGGCTAAAAGTATTCAAATCCACCAAATTCTAGACAACGGTATGCATTTCCTGTTTTTTTTAAGTAACTCAATGTATATAACTTTATGCTGATTCACCAGTTAATAAAGCATGGATAGGTTTTTGAAGTAACTCAATGGCAAAACTGATATAACTTTATGTTGATTAACCAGTAAGTAAAACATGGATACGTTTTTTTTGTCCTTTTCTAAACATTTAATAACCATGGTCCATGATTTCAAAATCTCGAAGCTAACAGTGAGTTTGATTTTAAGCAATAACCACAGAAAGAGGAACAGTATCACGAGGAATGAGCATGGCCTTTGCATGGTTTGCACAAAGGGGGAACTTGAGCGAGACACTTTGTGTCTTAACTGTGTCAAGAGCAAGTAGAAAATATCGTTGTGTAAGCAGAACGAAATGTTGCTAAAAAAGATAATGCTTACGCTGCAGTCATGCTGCACTGTAGAAAGTCCTGAGTAAGTACAGTCAGGCAGTTTGTAATCCCATGACTCTGCAGCCAGTGATGCACCACCTTCTGGGTCAGTTTAGAGGGACGCACCAGGGAGGACACTTCATCCAGGGTGAGGTATTTACCTGTGGAGGACAAAACAGGCCTCTGTCACTCCATGTTCAGTATGACAGTCTATGAGGTTATTCTAGGTCCTAGTCCTTGAAGACTACTGGCAAGTATCAGACAGGCAGACCCCTACCATATAGTCCTGAGTCAGGGTCCGACACCAGTCCGAGTATTGACTCCAGCAGGTCAGAGTTTTGCTGCTTTAGGGCAAAGGTCAGCTCCAGCTGGTCTGTGGGATCCACCCGACCCCCATGGTTCCAGTCGTCTGGTATCCTGAGGAAGGTTTTTACTAAATGAATATGGCTTCACTTTACCTGATAGTGTGAAACTAAATAAATAGCTGCTAACAAAGCTGTTGCCTGTTAAGTGTATTGATGACTACATTTTGAAACATCACATTCATTTGGCCATTTTTGACCAACCACGAGTTGATTCATTTATTACATTACATGTTACTTGTTAGACGCTTTTATCCAAAGCGACTTACATACTCAATACTGTGGGCAATCCCCACAGGAGCAATTTGGGGTGAAGTGTCTCAGGAACACATCGACATGCTGACTGCAGTGGGGTTTGAACCTGTGCTCTTGATCCGAACACCAACGCTCTATCCACTGCGCCACACACGCCTCCATTTATACTATTCATGAGATCTTTACAAGGGTTTAAAAAAAATCCAAAGCATGGTACAATATACCTGATCTTTTAACTGAATATGGAGCCACACATACTGAAATTCCCTAACTAGGCACATTATATAGCAATTCCCACAACAGTTTTCCAGACTCCAACATCCATAATCCTTATCAAAGAATATTGTTAAAACTTCCCCTTTTATACAAGTATTTCCCGCAAAATTGGGCTGTCAAAACCGGTCTGTATTTATGAAAATGTTTTAATTAGGCTTGACTCTCAAATTTGAGAAAGAGTGTTTAAATAAGGTGAAATACGAAATAGATTTAATAATTTACAGATAGATAGGGAAATGGCTCTTAAAGGGGATTTGCTCACAAGACATCTTGGTCATATTCCAGATAGCCACTCCAGACCAACGAGCTGAACAACAAGGTGAGGGAGAAGGTCAGCCTGGTGGAAGGAGAAACAAAACAATTTAGAATAGAATGTACACATGCAGAGTTTTTAAAGACACCTACATATAGCAGGGACATACGGAAGTAAGGTACTTGCGGGCACAACAAAACAAAGTCTCAATGTGACTCGACTTAGTTTGTAGGTCACATTAACGCATTTATGAAAAGGCAGATACACGCTTGTGAAACGAGTTTCTAACTATATTGAGAACAAAAAGAAACATGGTTATTTATAGTAACCTCAAAATTATGTGAAGATGTTAACTCGCTATGTTAGCTGGCAGCTATCTAGGTCAGCTCAAAAGGTAAAACCAAAAATATCAGATGCGGAATCACAGTTCACGGTAAACCGAGTGAGCGCTTTCTGGACCCTTTATCTCCCTGTTAGCTTGAATTAAAATACACAACTATGAACATTTACAAAGCACTCACAGTGTGTTCATCCTGTCCTCGGTTAGTTGTGTACACTCATCTGTTGTGTCTGCTGAGCAGCCTGTTATAAATGCAGCAGTCACATGACATGTTTTCACGTGATCTTGCCTTTTTTTTTTAAAGCTTAGGAATGTATACAAAGCAAAATAGAATACAGTTAAAAATATAATAAATGTAATAACAATCAAAAAATATAGTAAACCAAACAAAAAAGGGATAAAGAAAATGACGAACATTAATTATTAGAATAACGTTGTTTTTTTAAAGGGCTCCAAAAAATGATCAAAACTTATGACCCTGATATAGCTTCATACTCCAGCATTAATTTTCTGAATTAATTACATTTTCTGAAAGATGTCAACATCTTCTGAAATGATTTGTCAACAATTAACCAGAGGATTATTAGTAATCTCAATCACTTATTTTTAGCTGGTGCATTATGGTAACTTTACAACATTCAACCAATTTCATTGGGAACATACTCTTTCAATAGCTTCCATATCATGTAACTTTGTGTCCAATTCAATGTAGAATTGCATTTCTGTGTTTTTTGTCGATTTCTTAAGAATATTGTTATACAAATTTAGCATTTTATTCATCAAACATTTAGAATTTCTTTACAATACATTCAGGGGCGCCGTAAGGGGGGTAACTTGTGTATATCATGTACTGCCCAAATAATATAAAATAAAGTTTTCTAAAAAAATAAAAAAAGTAAGGGGGTGAAAAGTTAGGACGATTCTATGGGACCGTGACTGACAGGGCCCCCAAACATTTTTAGAACATTGTGAAAAAAAGTTGAAGTCACCTTTCATCAATCATCAACAATTACCATTAATATAACGTTAAATTGATAATGTATTCACTAAACTTACGATTCATTTCACTTTTTCTCTTCCAAAAGTTAATTATCCAAAGCCTTTGTACACCCCCCTCTATTTACATGTAATGGTTTGGTCCGGCCTCCAAACGCTGTGCGGCACTGCACTTTCTGGCAGAGAGTGAGAGCATGTGAGGAGGTATGCTAGTACTTTTATATATAGTCTATGGTACTTACGTGTGTACAATGTCTCAACAACTAACAAAGTCAGGCTTTCAAAAAAGAAAAGAAAGGAGAGAAAGACAAGAGAGAGGGACTAAAGGGCCACAGTATATCACCCAGTTTTTCAAAAATAAAAGGTAGGTGTGGTCCATGAGTGGTGGAAATTAACTAAGCTTATTCCATTGTAAATACTAATTGTAATGTTTTGCAGACATTAAGTAGCCTACTGTTATCTTCACCGAAAATACAGAGGTTTTTCATTTCACTCCTCTTTTAGCTGACATTTAATAAATGCAGGTACATTTTTAGCAGCTATTCATACTAAATCAGTTGTCTCCCCCCCTGGTGCCAGGACCAAGTTCCATATTTAGGCTTAGCAGCCCTGTCCCTGTCCCAGCCCTGTCCCCCCATAAGGCTTTGCTGTCTTGCCATGCTGTCCATTGAAAGCCTGGCTAGAAAGCTGGACTTCAAGGAATTGATCAGTGACTTTGCCTGTAAGAAGGCAAGGCGCTGGGCTCTTGGTGAGCAAGGCTGAGCAAGGGCTCGTAATAACTATTTTATAAATGATAATATTGGTGTTAATGTTCACTTTATTTTAATTTAAGAGGCCATGTATATTTAAGTTATAGTTATTTTTGATTTATTAAAGTTCCATTCAAAAATGTTATTAAAAAGGCATGTACACCATAAAAGATTACTATTGAGATCTATTGTCAGGAATGTTAGTGTTATATCAAATAGTGAATTCTACTGCAGCAGAATGTTGCACGTCTGCACAGTGTTATATTTTCACCGCTGAGTGTCAGTAAATATTGTGCAGTTAGTATTGGACTACAAGATAGATGCAAGCCTGTACAGGTAGAGTTATTTAAAGCATAAATGGGTTGGTTGGGATCTGGAAGTGTGGTTACAGCAATTGTGCTTGGTTGGCGTTGGGTGGGGGCCCAATGTGATATCTTTTCATGTGGCCCAAAATCCCTGGCGGCGCCCCTGAATACATTCAATGTCTTGTGACCCAATGATTCCTAATCAAGGCGGCAATTGATTGCTGGAGGAGTAGGACACACTTCTTTTTTGTAGTCAATAAGACACAACATGAAAACATTTTTTAAAAGTATTTTATTCGCATCACTATAATTAATAAAAATGAAAGGTGGACAAAACACTAGTTTTAAACTTAAAATATGAATGACATCTTATATATTTTTACCATATCATTACATCTGTTGTGAATCTTGAATGACAAACTATGTCTGGAGTAAGAGAGGAGAGATCAGTTGCATGGAAAGAAGACAAGTCATCTCTCCTTTACGCCACAGAAAGCCAAGAGCAGACTGTCAGACGGAGAGAAAACCAGGAGCTCCATCAGGTGCATTATATGATACACACACACACACACTTCACTGACCTGGGTCTATTTAATCCATAGAAACTCCTTTAATAAAATAAGATATAAAATGAAATACATGGAAAGTATATCATGTTTGTTGTTAATTGAAGTTGCACTGCAGTCGTGTGTAACATTCAATTATGTCTTTAGTTTTTAAATCAGTGGCTCTCATTTGCAGCTAAAGAGGTTGGGCATTACTTTCATAGATAAATTGTCTCAACACAAAAATATGTTACACTACCCATGTTGTTTATTCCACATTAAAAACCAATTCTCAAGGTTAAATTAAATACAAAACAATGATTCAACTCTTACATGTGTAAGACTGGACAATGGTCACATCTCCAGTGTAATCGATTGATTTTAAGTAATAGGAACTAGATCACAGATTTACGCAGTTTCAGCTGCAATCAGGCATTGTCTGAGAAGTAAAAATCCTCTTCCTCTCCGCTTTCAGACAGCACGGCATCTTTTTCAGGAAACATCTCCCAAACCACAAAGCTGTCATTTTCTAGTAAAAAAAAGAGAGAACAAGTGTGTTTGTGTTACAAGTGTCAAAATAACTACCATCAACATTGTTTTACAGCTTTGGAAATATGTTTACTTAACTTTTACAAGTCTCACAGTGTCATAATGAACATCAAGTTAAACAGCTCTCCCTGTATTTATAAAATACCAGCACTATAAACTTCAAAGTAGCTAAAGGGCTATTTGATTATACCCTACACATTTCTCACGAGTCCTACCTGTGTTAGCACATCTTCTCATTGCTTGTTTAACTGATGGTGTCGGTGCGAAGGTCTGAAAGAAAAAAGATTGAAAATGTTTTTGCAATAAAATATTAAAATCCATGCGCTAAAAGATATTAACGTCATAAATGAACTACAATAAAAGCAGTACCTTTGAGGAAGTAGCCTGTTTGCAGACCTGAAACTGATTCATCTTCATCCTCATCTGGAGCTTATGGATGTACTTTTCGTTATTGGTCCTTAAAAATTAAGAAAAATGCAGGTTAGACACTTCAATCACACCTCAATTCTGAGGAAGAATTCAACGTCACTCACCTGTTTGGAGAGCCTATCATGCCAGGAGAGAGATGCAGACCTTGAGGAGTCTTTACTTCTGGGAAAACTGTTGAGGTGGGGCTCAGTGGCTCCATCTCTGACAGATTGAAGTCTTCTTCACTCTGACACATGGAGGGAACCTACGGATCAAGATAGTCATGAAGGGAACAGTTATCACTCATTCTGTATTGTATCGTGATGCTATTATTTTTGCAAAATACAAAAAACAAAAGGGGAACTAACCTCAAAACGTTTCCTCTGCATGTACTCGGAGCTGAAGGCGTCCTCAACATCTTCTCTGGGCATGGCCTCCAGGAACTCACGCACTTGCTGCTTCCTTTTAAAGGTTCCCAATCCGGCAGATATCAAAGGAGGATCTGTAACTAGGCATAGATTATAGTTTGTCAGATTTCCGCATGCCAAGTCTTTTCCAAAAAGAAATAAGATGCAAGATAAGCTGCCATTCAAACATTAGAACGTTCTCTACCTGGATCTTCTGTTGCTTTCACTTTCTCCTTCTTCTTCTTTCCTTCCGTCTGTTTCCTGGCTGTCTTCTCAGGAGTCCGGGAGGTTCCCTGCCATGTGTGCTGGCAGTGGCACTCTTCTGCAGAACGTGTCCCAACCATTCTCGCCACCTTTCCCCAGTACCCTGACATGTCCTTAGGAAAGTAGGACACAGCCCTGGAAAACACAACAAAGGACACAACAAAGGACACACCAGTGAGCGTGAAATCAGGACAGAAGTATGTGACTTTCTCATTTCAGTAGGACTACAACACTTACTTTAGAAGTTTCATAAGCTCGGCCTCTGTCCACCCGTCTTCGTCTTGCTCTGGTCGATGTGGCGCTTTGCCTTCTTTTGCTTTGGGCTTTTTCTCGAGGGATTTTGTCAATTTAGGCGAAGGCTTTGGAGGTGATAGGGACTTAGTGTATGTGCTCTGCTTCTGTTTTCTACGTGTTCCTCTGGTTCTCCTCACAAGATCCTCCTCAGAAGACGTGGATGAATTCCTTGTATCTACTCTCCTGCTGCTCTTCCTTTGCACCATCCCCATCTTCTTTCTCTCGTTGACCTCATCCTGTGAAGATGCTGAAGTTGATGATTCTAGGAGTCTAGGGGCAAACCGTTTGCATCCCCTGACTTTCTTTAAAGGGCTTGTGGTGTCAGGCGTCCGCAGGTATTCAAGGGAGTCAGAGAGATTCTCATCAGGCTTAACCTTGGCTCGAGTGTGTCTGCGGGAAGGAGCTTTGACCCTCCTCAGTGGGACTGATGCCTCTTTGTTGTTGACTGGTTCACATTGTTTTCTGCCTGGAAGCATGGAAGTCAGATTGTCAGCAAGCTACTCAGAAATTATCTCAGTAGACTAAAACTCCAAGTTATCTTTACCTTCACTGCGGGCAGGTTTCTGTGACGTCTTCGAAGAAACTGTTGTTGTATCATTCTGTCATAGAAATGAAACATGGTCACATTATTCTGAAATATTAGTTATTTGTACAAATATTCTGGCTTGTTATGTAACCTTTGAGTTCAATTTATGGTGCTTACCAAGCAGATGCTGGTTTCATAACATGCATGGATGGTAA